TCCTGGGTCTGCCTCCTTCAGAGAACTGAAGATGTGGAGCTTGGCTGGTCTCTGAAGTCCATGCAGGTAATCCAAATAGCTCATTGCTCCCTTTTCCTATCATATTCTGTTTTGGGTGGAAAGCACTTCCCACTGGTCTAGATGTGGCTGTTTTGCCAGTCACGGCATGTTTTGGTACACCCTGTTTACCTCATATGTCAGTCCTGGTGTGGAAAGCTGTATGGTGGCAGGCAGTGAACATATTTCTGGCTTAATATCTGTGAGGAAGTGTTATCTTTGACATTGTGGCCATAGTCCATGGCTTCAAGAGATAATAAGCTGTGCCATCCCATGACAGTCCAAGGGAAGGCTCTTAGTTCCAATCTGAGGAATGATTCTCATGTTTATTCGGCCTCATACTAGGGCATTAGAAAGAGAGAGAGAGAGAGAGAGCTGTGCACCAAAGCACTTCTTACAAAAGGAAATTGTCACACTTGAATATTTAACACTATGTAAGACTTTCTAAAGAAGAAGGAAAAGAAGTGTGAATAAATAGGGATAAGAGGAATGGGAAGACTTCAGTTTTATTTTCTGAAGGAATCTTAAAGTTCTGAGATTGCACAGTTTCTAAAGGTGAAAGAGAGCTCTGACATTCCCAATAAAGACCTTCTCATTCAAAATACTCTGCTGAGGGGAACTGGCCATGTGACTTGGGGAACTTCCAGTACAATTAAAGGCAACTAATGGGTTTGGAAAACTGACCATCTGCATCTTAGCAGCTGAATCTAAGTCTAAAAGATACTGAGTACATTTAAGAACTCACCATCGATCCTCAGACTTTGATGTTGAGGACACTGGATGTGCTTTTACCTATTCTTGGACTTTCCATCAGGCTACAGGTGGCTCTTCCTAGAGGACCTTCATGGTGTTTTGAGGAGCAATGTTTCTTGCATCCTAAGGGGAGTAGTTATTAATCTAGATCAAAACAAGTGCCTAAGGATTGGACTGAGGGGAAGGGCACCATCAGCTACCACAGAACTCCCAAATGGCAGTGCATTTTCTTTTCTCTGACTACTTAACAGTTTTAACAGGGTGGTATTATCTTTCATTGTCTGTACATACATCAGATGATAGTTTTTCTTAAAATATTGGACCAGCTTTGGAGTGGGGAAGCTTAAAATATCCCTGTATGATGAATATTTTTATTAAATTATAAAATGAAAAAATCAACTCAATTGAATTGAATAGCATGTCTTTGCTAGCACGGACTGTTTATATATTAAAATTCTACAGTGAAGGTCTGTGACTCATAAGGTAGGCGGCATTCTTCCATGTTATGCTAGAAATGTTACATTGTTATATTTGCTATAAAATAGAAACTGGTATTGCTACTTCAGTATTTTTAATAATAAGAGTTTTTGTCTTCACTATATATGATTTTCCTATTTTTAAGTTTGGGAAGATATTATTTAAATGAGGCACACATATCAAAAATAAACATGCACCCATAAAGCCTCAGACACGTTAACAAAAATCTCTGTGGTCATGGTTGCTGTTGAGTGGAGCACCAGCAAAGGTAGTAAGATCACCACAATTCAAGTCCAACATTAGCTTTTAGACCATGCAAGTTCCCCAGAATTGCCAGGAGATTGGAAAGTCAGGGAAGCCCTTCATCTTGGTGAGTGTCAGATGGCTTAAGCATTCCAACACAGCATGCTTGGCTGTTTGGAAACGTGGAGCAAAGACACGCATGGTTCACCAGTTCCCAGGCTCTCCAGTCAGCCTGTTGAAATGGTCCAGTAAGAAAACCTGAATGCTGAGGGCATCCACCAAATTTGTAACAGTTGGTAACACACATTAATATTTTATTTCTGCTTTACTCTAGGTTCTTCTGTTTCTGAAAAATGCTGGCAGAAATGCCATTCACCCAGTAGATTTACCGGGTGGAATAAACCTGAACTGTTTCTGTCAACACGAGAGGGAGCACAGACACATCTATCAAATTGACACAGTCCCTGCACTTGATGAGCTCAGTGGAATGAGTCTTCCACCTCCAGTTTTTGTAATGCCAATGAGTGATGAATCAGAGATATTTTTGACATCTGAAAGCAATTCGAGGTGAGAGAACCAAGACGACCGGTATTTGCCAGTCAGAACTATAAATAAAATTTTCAGCACTAAGACTCCTCAAAAGCTATTTAAATAGGCTAAAATTTTACGGATTGTTATTCCCTTAGGAAAGGAATGCTATCTGTATTTTAAAGTGTGTCATTTCTTCATAGATGTAGTCATGCAGGCAGCAGGTAGGACTTTGGCTTCCTTCATAACCACAGTAAATCTATCCTGTCCCTTATGCTATTGATAGGATTTTCAGACCTGACCCAGTGTTTTCTGGTTTTAGAATTAGAGGAATTAATTAGGTTGATGGGATTTTTTCACAGTGAATCATGTTCTTAGAAAGGCTAATGAGTCAAGATATCAGCTTGTAATCATTTACTTGATGACTAGGTATATACTCTAACTTGAAGTCACACAGCTTTGCAGCAGGAAAAGTGACTCATGATTACTATACAAATTACTAATATGCAATTGTTATTTACAGATAATGACATATAAAGTTTTCTGTATGTAAGGCAAGAGACAGCAAATAACTTTAAAAAGAAATGAAGGCTAGCCTCTATTTTCAGACACAATGACACAATATTGGTAACATTATCAGTTTGGCTGGATTTACACAGATCAACATGAGAATGATTGAAAACCCCAATGGATTTTAGCACTTCTGAAGGGTAGAGATTAAATGTGCATCAGCCATATTTCCACTCAAACAAACAAAAAAATCTAACAGTGAAGCAGACAAATGTTCTTTGTTGATCTATGATAGCCATCTAAAATAACATAAAAAGTAAACTACACATAAAGGCAAGATTTAAAAGGTAAATGACAGTAGGGGGAAGTCTTTGTCTTGTATGCTATAGTAATGGTACATTCTGCAGAAAGCATTTTTTCTCTCTGACAGAACATTTAACACATCAATAGTAAAACACATTCTGGGACATTGTGTGGACAAATTCTACAGATTAAGTATAGTGATTTCGATGAAGTTGATTTATGCCAACATACCCAAGTCTAGGATACTTTTATAAAGGTCAGATAAGAAACATAGCTGATCATATGATGGCAGAATGAAAGAAAGGAATAAATATTTTACTGTCCTATTCATCTTTCTATATAATATGAATAAACCTTCAAAATACTTATGTGGACAGAAAAGCAAACTGACGTGTCTCAACTTCTCCTGTAGTTATTGTAAATCCAAGATGTTCTTCATCACTGCTAAAATATACCTATACGGTGAGTGAAGAACTTCTTTAAACCTCAATTTCCAGTGAAGTTCCTGACAAGAGAAACCAAAAGACCAGAGAGGTAATTCCAAACAGTAACTGCTCATACTCTTTCTTGAAATGTCCAGTCTTGGGGAAATGTTGAATAACCACATTCTCCTTTTTACCTGCTTTGGTACTGAAACAATGCATGCATGATCTAGCACAGTTATGAAAAACCTGCTCTTTTGTATGGAGGGAGCCCAAACAAATGCTTCAAAACAAACTAAATTAATGTCAATTTGTTCATCATTCATGTACAATAAATAACACTATTCTATCATTTGATGAGTGAGATACTACGCATTAAATATGAATGGCAGAATCAACTCTATAGGGAATAAAGGAAGATTTTTGTTGATATATCATCTCATTGACATAGTGTACATGCATCGTTTTTATGTATATCATTAAAATATTTGCAAAGAAATGACCAAGGATGTAAAAAGCAGCAAGGTGAAGGCGTGACACTGTTTTGTAATAACCACAACATATTTAATCTATTGTTTGTAAATACATTCTTTAATCAATTCACTTAGCTTTTCTATCTGAAAAGTATTTTTGATTTAATCATGACTTTTGTTGCATGTTTACTATTCATAAAACTTATGTGAATTGAATTCTGCCTGAGAGAACTATTATTGCTGATTATCTTCTTTCTTTTGTTCTATTTTTTTCTGGGATAGCTGCCTTTATTAAAGAAATAAAAAAAATTAGTTGAATGAATTAGAAACAAATGTATTATATTTTTGTCCATGGATAAACTGACATTTCAGGTGCATATAGATATTCACATGAAAAAGGGAACTAGAAAATAGTTACACAGAGAAGGGATCATATATGAGATCATGAATAGAAATGAAGTGTTATTAGACAGAATATCACATTTGTAATAATCATAGAAAATGTTATGATAACTAAGTTAAATTCATTTCACCTAGCTTTAGTTGCCTAAAAGATGATGTGTGGTCTAATGCAGTCTTCTTAAAGTCAATTAAATGAGGAAGACACTCCCAGTTCTGGAAACAGAAGTCTATGGTAGATGAAATAATTGCCCTTCTGTAGATGCTTCTTTATCTCTGTTGCCTGTTGATGCAAGTTGGATGACTAAAACTGGAAAACTAAAGTTAGGTCAGATAAATTCAGTCAAGTCTGACTTTAGGGAATTTCAAAAAAGGTTAGTGCGTGTAACCGAGAGAGAACTGGATCTATTTTACCTGTGCAACTAAGAAATGTAAGTAATCCAAAACAGATACCTAGATGATCAAGTCAGGTTAAAGATCTTCAAGACAGCACATCCATGATATACGTTGATGATATACATCCACGATATACAGTTGGACTCTAGATAATATTATTTTACCCTTAGTGCAGACAGCATGTTGGCACATACTACTGAAGATGTGCCATAATACTGCTTATCATGACAATGGTCTTTGGCTATAGAAGTCATAAAATGACCTTCTATCAGTCCTTTTCTGCTTTAAGACTCATGGAGGTTTAGAGGGGCTCTCAGATGCCCCTTACTCCTTGCAGAAGATTGTGCCTGTTGTGCAAGAGAAAATGTATATTAAAAGGAATTCTACCGAACTCCCAACTCTCCTGTCGTTCCATTTTTTGATAATGCATTTATCTTACCTTCTATCAGCTTCCCCGTCTGCTCTGCATTGCCCCCAGGCAAGATCTTGGCAATGTAAGCTCCAGTTTCCCCACTGCTTCCTGGAATTTCTTTCCCACCTACAACTCGGATTCCCAGTCCATTGCCTGTGATCAAAAGAAAGAGAAAACTTTAAACAAAGATGAAACAATGAATAATTCATGGGAAATAAAGAGAGAGAACAACTCATCAGAGGTTACTGAAGGATAACTGAAGAATATACTGAAGAATATACTGAAGAATATATTGAAGAATAACTTCTGCCTATGGTTGGAAGATTAAGGTTAACTGCAGTCCTATCCAGCACTTTCCCAAAGAGTTAACTTTGGGTAGAAGTGTTTCAGTGAAGGAAAGGATCTTCTTGAGTAACTACTATATGACTGACATAACACAAATAACTGATTCACTAAAAATTACATTGAAGCCAATCCTACCTTCTTCAGTCAGCCTTACTGTACTGCAAAGGGACTATTTCCATGGCAAACCTATTTCAAGCAAACCATAATTTGCAGTATTAATTAAATTGCATTAAATTGCTAGATATCCATGTGAAGTGTGGATAGCTTTATCATATGTCTAAAACACACATGCAATTTAGCTGAAAAATTATACTATCTGAGCTTTTAGAATCACATAAATATGGAGACTAAAATCATTGAGCTCCAGCAGCACTGTATGTACATTTACATGAACGTATATGTGGCAGATGCTATTATTTTTCTTAAATATTTGCTTTTAATGGACATCTTTTACATCAAGGGATGTACAAACTATCAAAATGGAAAAAGCCTACAATAGGTCTGTGTAAAGCATCATCAAATCTAACATATTTTCTCCCTTTTTAAAAAATAACAAAGATGAAAACAATTTGACCACTCTGATTATTTTAGCTGGAGAGAAGCAGATTACTAATCTCCCTTATGTACAGAAAAATGAGAATGAAAATAAAGTTAAAAAATAGCCTCATAAAGCTAATCTTATTCATTGCCAATTTTTTGTGCTATCTTGCTTTTCAAAAAAATACTTCCTATACAAGAAAAACAAATTTTCTTCTTTGAAAAGGAGGATAATTTCATATGAGATGATTCACACTTTGATCTGGGAATGTAAAGGCTGATTTTCCCATGTTTACTGTAATGGCTAAATAATTAATTTTCAATTTATTAATTTAATAAGCCAAACCTGCTGAGTGATTAGACTAATCATCTATAGGAAACTCACCACACAATCTCTTTGCCAAGCTTTATCTTTTTAGATTAAGGTTTTTCCTCATAATGCTATTAGTGTTTGATAAATCAGCCCTGAGTTTGTTTCAGAAGCAAAATAGCCACATTGAGTTTCTGGGGAAAAAAAAGAAAAAAAAAAAAGCTTCCACTAGTTTTCCTATCCCGTTTTAGTTAATCTGTATCTTTTATGCCTCAGCTTTCCTCATAATTGCATGTTAGACATTTTCCAAACAAGCATTTTCTTTTCCTTCGGAAGATGCCTGCTGTTCAGATCCACGCATGGATCCTGTACAGCACAATATAAAGGTAAGGAAAGCCATGATAGACTCATGGCTTAAGGGGTTTAGCAGGAATTACTTAACATGGCAACAGCTCATTCCACCACTGCAAGCCTAGACCAAAATGCTGTATTTCTCTAATATACTGATAAAACAGGTGGGTGAGAGCAACCAAGGGGAAAAAAAAAAAAAAAAAAAGATGAAGAATTAAAAGGAAATATATGAGTATTGTTCTTACAGCATAGTAATTAGAGTACGTAGGTACATTTAATGCAGAGATGAACACACTCCTATATAAATCAAGCAGTATACATTGCTGGAGCATGCAAAAGGTTCAGCTACACAACTAATGGTGCAGGCTGGTGGCACCTCAGATGATAGGTACAGATGACTCTTGGGGAGATGGTTAGATCTACATTTTGTGTCCTAATGTAACACAATTAGGGTGGGGATTCAGTGATGGGATGACCACTGGTAATTTGCTATCAGTATACAGAACTTTTAGTGAATGATTTCAGTGTGGGCTGATGGCCAAGGATGAGTTTCAGGGGTTTTGTGGGAATAAGCCATGATATGGTTGTGGGCTAATGTATGATAAATGGTAAGATAGACCTTGAGTTTATAGAAAGGAAGATCAAGACTCTTTGGAGACCAGATCTTGTACTGTTTATCCACCATAGTGTGTAACAGGAGAAATTGCCTTTGGTATGGTACTACTGGGAGTACAGGTAGGAGTTTTGTACACATATCTTGAACATAATTCACCTCTAGATTATATTTATATCCAAGTTTGAGACAAAGTTTAGATCTGTCATATAAACCCATTTCAGAGTCTGCATTTTTGTTTTACCTACGTGGTAATATTTAGTCTTGAGACTTTCAGAACACATAAGAGATTTAGGGAATATGTAAACTCAACCCTATGACAACATGAACAATATCTCTGTAAGTTACAACTGTATGAAGATTTCACATAGCAAGAATGTCCTCTCAAGTTTACTTTGTTTTTTTTTGCCCAGTGTAACTTTGCTGGTTCAAAAATTCACTACAAAAAGCTGTGCAGGCATGTCTAAGAATCTTCAGTAGGAGTTGTGAAAACTCAGAGGATAGCATGAAATTTGCTAAGTAAGTTTCTTGAAATTTTTGCTAAAAATTTTAGTCAATTTGGCCCCTCTCTACATGTTTATCTTCTTTTTTGTAATTTGAAGACCAGAGCAATATCTTTAAGGAAGTCAGCTTCTTGTAAGACTTTCACCTGAAAATGTAAAGTAATGCAAATGTAATACAAAATAATGCAATAATGCAAAATAATGTAAATATTTTTAAGCCTTTTTTTGGACATGACAAGTGAACAGTTGTCTCGCTTTTAACAGCAAATTAAGAATGGAAAAAGTATAAATATTTCAGCTTCTCTAAAAAAAAAAAAGGGACCCATATAATAAACATAAAACAATACCACCTAAATATCCAAGCTAATTACAGGGATGGGAATATAATTAAATTCCTGCTACAAGATATATCCATCATGGTAGTTAATATTCCTTTAATTATAAACTTGGTATGGATGATAATTGATTAACTAAACATATTGCTGCTTGGCTGGTTTCTAACACAAATGATTTGATGTACAGAAAGGACGCTGTGTTTTAAACAAAAGCTATATCAGCACTCTGGGACTGTGCTATGGGAAATTCTAAGATTATTTTTGTTAAGGAGAGTAATTTTTCAGTGTAATTGGAACAAACTGTATAGTTAAATTAATTACTTTATTTCAGTGCAAATTTGAAATTTAGCACTGGTAAAGTTTATTTTTCTTGGCATGACAGGGAAAGCAAACCCATCATTCTAAGGATGGGTCTAAATGTCCTTCACAAAACTTGAAAAATACAGTCTTTTAAAAAAATAAGCACCTCATTGCATAAAGCAAATGTGTACCCTATAAAATAATTGATATATTGGTCCATCCTTAGGACTTCAAAATTCATATGGGCTGCTCTGCACCTTTATCGGAGGACTTCTGATCAAACACTAGTGAAAGACTCCTTAATATGTTACAGATCTGAGTCTCACCACTGGGAACTATTAAGTTCAGCAAATCCAGTAAACATCTATTCTTAGTATAGAACACACACAAACAGCCACACAGTAACTTACTCTTAACCCACACAGTCAACAGATGGATTTTTCAACATATCAGCAGGACTGGACACTTTTCATCACATAGGGGAGCAACTCTACAGGGTCAGAGTTTTCTCACAATGTCCTAGTATGTCTATCTCCGAGAGCTTAATTGTAACAGAATGGCAGAGGTGGTTTGTCATATAAATGAGTGTACAAGACACTTGATTTCAGAGGCAATTCTATGGATTCCTATGCTAGATAACGTTGAAAATCATGGCTGACATATTGGTTCTGATTTTGCAAATCTAAGGTGTTTGTCCATGTTACTGCTAATAAAATAAATTATTTTCCATGCTATTATATAAAGATTTTTATTCCTAGACACTTTGAATAGGCTTGTGATTTTATATTTGCAGGTTTTGGAATTAAATGTATGACTGACATGATGTATTAAGTAGGAGCATGCTTGCTAACGGACAGCCACAGGGTGTGTGGGGGTGTGTGTTTGCATATGTTCTTGTTGCTGGACAAATCAGGAGGTATTTAATTTAATTTGATCTGTTTGCACTAAATTAGAAAATTGTATTCCATTATTATTATTATTATTGTGTTGCACAAATGTTATTAGAAGAAATATTTGTATTTAAATTACAAAATATTCCATTCCTGGCAGTCAGAACTAATGAGTTAGTTTTAGCCCAATGACCTCCAAGTGCTCTGCTCTGGCTGACAAAGAAATATGGCTTGGATGTTGCTGTATTTTTTCATGTGAAGATGGGATTTCAAACTTGTTTATACTGTATTTATTGAAAGTATTGAGTTCACTCCTTCTTTTTGCAGTGGCATTGCCCAATTTATCACCTTGAATGCAGATAGTTTAAAAATATTATCAATCATATTCTTTCTCAGATCTCTTTTCCCTTGTTTTTTTGATTATTTTTTTTAAGTTTTGAGTCTTAATTTCTATCTCTCAGATTATTTTGATATAACCAGACATGAATCTTTCAATTTTAGATTTTCAGATTAACAAACCACTAGTTTTTTCTTTGGAAGACACAGGAGCATTTAACCGTCAGAAGGCGAATCACCATGCTTTGAATGAGAGAGGGCACCTTTCTGAACTCTGAATATTGATTTCTATGGAAGATATCTTCAGGAAAACATCTCTTCAAAGGGAATTCTACACATTTAAGATCCAATCCTTTTTAGGATGCTTGAAAGCTAGAAGACTGCTAATTAATTGCAACTGTTTTTCCTGATCCCCCATGGCTGTGATCCTACTCGCCATCTAATCTTAACTGAGCCTTCAGATGCAGCACATAAGCAAAAAAAGCCCCGCAAAACTCCCACAACCCCAAACCCAAAAAGCCTAATGCTAAACTTTAACAAGATAGATTATGCAACTAATTTCATTTTATACTTTGATAACAAACAAATATGGATACTAAATCATTACAGTTAGCTTTGAGCCACTGGTATATA